AGGCCCTTGAGCACACCTGCAGATTAAGCTCGCCAAAGATTTCAATCTCTCCCTACCCCCTTTCCTTCAGATAATGAGAACTACGGCATCTTCGGGACCAACCGGCAAGGAATGGATACCCGAACAGCTTCGTCAGCCGCTGCCTCCGCACGCACCCACGGCGAACAAACGGAGGAGAACTCGGCGTGGGTATCGCTGACCGTCCGACAGCGACCATGCGCAACAAAATCATGCGAGTGAAGGATCGCCTAGACGTGGGTGAACAATCGGGCGTCGTCTATCAGATCCCATGTCGGGACTGCCCTCGTTACTACACAGGACAGACCGTACGACAACTTAGCTCGCAAATAACGGAGCATAAACGGGCGGTCCGGAGAGGCGACCCGTTGTCTCAGGTCGCCACTCACACCCTGGAGGAAGGCCGCGAATTCAACTTCGCAAGCACGCGAATAGTAGCGCGGGCCAGCAATAAGACAGAGCGAGAACTGTTGGAGGCCTAGGTGTCCGACACCAACTCTATCAACAGACACGTTGACATACCCCCTGCTATCACGCGCTCCGTTCCCGCGGCCAAGAGGCGAGACCCAATTTCCAGCCAAGGGTGCACGCAGTCACGCCGCCGTTAGACGGCGTGGGACTCAGCTTATCGCGAATACCACCCTCTGCACTCATATCTCCTCTTCATGGCTTAACTACAAAAACTGCTCATTTAATGTCGCATTCTCATAGCCTCTGACGATGGCCTCCTGCACGAGACCGAAAGCTCAGACTAATACACCTGCTATTCCAGACATCGTTTGTTCATCTTCTTTACAAGTTATGAGTCTTTGTTCAGGCAGCCCCTATACATTCAGGCAGTCGAATTTCAACAAGCAATGTCAAAATCAACTATTCAAAGTCTGAACGTTTATTAAAAAGGGAATCTGAAGAGGAGAGTAAGTCACATTTTAATCGACCGGGGATGAAATTCAGAAGTGGAAGAGAAGCCCCCGCGCTCGAGTCGAGGTGCCGGGCCGCGTAACTCCTCCGCTAGAGCGTCCGGCTCGTGCTCCGTCAGTATCGTTTCAAAGGAACCGGAATTTCGCTCAGGGAGACTTCAACTAAAATTTAAACAACCCTAATTAAAATGTTTGCACTTTACAAGGGTGGGAGGCGGGTTGGGCCAGTCAGCCATTGTCGGGCGTGAGAGTTGACCTCGTGAAGGTGCATGCCATTATCGACTGTCGAAGATCGATCGATCACCTGATCCAAACGGTGTTTGTGGAAGTCGTGCCATTTTGTGGATGTCAGCTACGGACAGTAGCTTGAGAGAGAACGGCAGGGCCCCTACCGATCCAATGTCCATCCATCATGACTAACTGCAAGCACGTAGTAAATCTCAACCGCGCTCCAAAAACGTAATATTCACGCCAATTTCCGTTCTGGCCACGGAGTAAGACGTTTACAGAAATGCAAGGGCGCCCGGATATGCAGGGTTTCCGCCAGCACACACGCACCCCCGACCCTGGTAGACACGCCACACTACCAGGACTCATGTAAGCACCACATTTGAGTGGGTGAGGAGCGGGCTCCGTGATTGAGGTGGTTATAGCATGCCTATTAAGACTGAAGAATCGAAAATGTGCGTTTTCTTAACACAGATTCCCACATCTGCACCCCCGACCCCGGTAGTAAAGCCACACTAGGACTCACGTCAACCGGTGCATGCGCAAAGTGAACCAAAGGCCTAACCGCACGGACACCAAATTTTGGCAAGCACTTCCATATGTCAAGAACGTTTCGGAAGCTGTCGGCCGCCTCCTCGCACCCCTCGGGGTTGGAGTTGCACACAGACCGGAGGCAACCATCGGGCGTCAGGGCGTCTGGAGTTGTTTATCGGATCTGGTGCAGTTGCGGACAAAGCAACTACGTCGGAGAAACCGGAAGACAGCTCCAAACGCGAATGGCCGAACACGCTGCAGCGCTGCGGAGAAATGACGCTAGCTCTTAAGTTGCCACTCATTCGACGAGATCTGGTCACACATTCAAATTCGACGAGGCCAAAATTCTCGCAAGAGGGGACAACCGCGTGAGCCGGGAGCTGCTTGAGTCATGGTTTACTGGTCCCAGTCAATTAACAGGTGCAATGATTTTTCCATTCAATACTCTGTGCTGAGACTTCGTCTAGGCGGGGTAATTTGCCACGCGGGGAGCGCACAGATGAACACTCTTCCCAACACCCGGGTCAGCGCGTCAGGTGTTCGAGCAATCATCACACCAACATCCAACGCACGTGATAAAATTGCAGCAATTAACGACGCGAATGTCGGCCATTACACCACGTTCAACGATCCCTGTTGAAGGGGGGAGCCATGAATATTCATAGGTAAGCGGTAGCATGGCTACTGCATCGTATAAATACTGCAGCCCCTTATGCATGAACCACCCGTATCTGCTTTTGTATCTGATGATGGATTCGAGCAGAAATCCGAAACGTCAGGCTAATAAAGCTCTTGTCCTAGCGATCGTGTCTCCTTTAAGACTCGCGTAAGCACCACTTTTGAGCGGGTGAGGAATACATGCATTCTTTTCCTTTCTAAGTGGGACTAGGTTCCGTAATTGTGGTGGTTACAGCATGCCTATTAAGACTGAGGAATCGAAAATGTGCGCCTTCTCAACACAGATTCCCTTGTAGGAGAACAACAAACGCTCCCAATCCCATTTGGCGCGAATATTATGGTAGATGGGACAAAATGGCCGTCCCACCGCCTCTAGGTTTTGTCGGTGAGAAATCCCAATCGTTGATTGGTCGTCGCCATGCTAGAGCACGCGAAAGACCAGGAAAATGTTTAGGTCAGACAGAAATCCAGTCAAAAACAGTTCAAACTGAAGTAAATCGGTGACAGTCTACTCTCTGACATTCTTGAACCTGGCAGCTTACTCATGTCGCCTAATGCCCACCTAACAACCTCAACTGGGTGATTATGCTTCGCGTGACGCAGCCCCCCCCCCCCCCCCCGTAGCAACGGCCTAACGCAGGCCGACATCTACCTCCTCATTGATTGGTTGCAGTCGGACATGATTCAGGCACACGCATGTACCTATGTCAGGACAGCGGCCGGCTCTCTGTCATTGTGCTTCCGACCGCCCTCGGAGCTGCTCCCTGCCGCGATAAACACTATCGCAATCGGAGAAGTTATTACCCCTCACGAACACTAACATTAGATATGGCCAGGTAATGATAGTGATTACTTTTCTACTATAAGTGCAACACATCTTGGCATCCGGTTGGCCCAACGCACTCAAATGATCGATCGGTTGGTGTACATTTACGGTCCCATCAAGCCTTTGTCAAAGCGCGATAGCCGACATTAACGAGAAGTTTCCCAAATCGCTTCTCAGGGGAAGTTTGGAGGTCAACTGCAACAAGCTACTAAATAGTCATGAAATAGCCGTTATTATTCAGTCGCAACGGGGGGCTCGGAGTGTGCGCAGAGGCCATGTCCGCCAGCAGCCTAACATCAAAAAGAGAAATTTTGTTCGGCGTCAAGCTGTCGTCAGGTCGCGGTGTCGAGTCTCGTGCGGCTTAGGTACTTAATTGACAAGGTGCATTGGGAGGACCAAAAGTGACACGGGTGAACAAACACGCTCGCGAGTGGGGTTGTGGACTGGCACAGTACCCTCAATAGAGGCATGGAGGAACATAGAGCAAAAAGGAAGGTGAGGGGAACGAAGACACGTCCGGAGGACGCGCGAGACCTTTGTGTCCCCACACGCTCCCGAACGGCAGTCGTAGGGAAATTGGAAGGCGTGACGCACTCAGTCACAACGAGAAGGACGCGCGTGTAGGTGGCCAAGCAGATTCCTCACCGCCGCGATTTGGGACGACCTGGACTCCTAGAAGTCGGACGGTGAAAGAAAAACAGGTGAGGTCCGACTTCACAGATGAGTGGGTGCAAAGAGGAGGGTGCTTAGTCCAGTTCTATGGATCCTCTCCATAATCTAGACAGGCCTTCAGCTTGCAGTAGAACCGCTCGACCATGTCGGTGGCTGCCGTGTGGTGGTGGTGGTGGTGGTGGTGGTGGTGGTGGTGGTGGTGGTGTGGGTCTTGGGCGAACATGGCAACCTCACGGCTAAGATATGCCCTTGCCATTCTTGCAGTGTTGCGGGCAGCCATCATGGTCGGTCTGGTGTCACTGTCCAACGCCCCACTACCTCAAGGTCTCTCAGCCCCTTGCAGCGAGCCGTTCCAGACGCGCTGACCGGCGGCCACTCGATCCACCTCAACTCGAACGCACACGCGTCCACAGAGTCACAGCTGCCCATGTGACCGCTTGAACGCACCTCTCCCCTCCCAACCACAACCTAAGTCACTGGGACACTACCCCTCGGCAAATGCCTCACATCAGTTGGACACACCGAGAGACTGACCTATAAACCTACAAAAGAGGCTGTTGCCACTCTCTCGAGGACGCTCAGGCGTGACAGTCCGGCCCGGCTTTGCCAGCGGCCGCTGTCGCCTGAGGAGACAACCCCGGCTTCTGCATACAATAAACCCATCAATCTGATAAATGTTGTCTTCTCCTTACAACTTGGGATTTGATAGTGGCGCTCTGAGCCACTACAGCGGTATTGACATTCGGTAGTGGCATGATTTCCAGACACGGGGTAGTTTGCTCCACGGACAACAGCTGGACAGAGACCGGTAGCCTACAGCTGTCAGATGTGTTTATGTAGCCGAACCTTAAGTAAACAAACACCAGTCACCTCTAATACGGGACCGGCGGTAATAGGGGTTTCCACAGGGGAAGGGGGGCGGGGAACGCACAGGCAACATGGTCAAGTAATTGCATGCAAAGGAAATCTTATTTGGGAATGCGTAGTAGTATTCTGAACGGTTGAAAAATAGTTGCCATATCCCTAACCCCAACCCTAGCCCTTTACCCCTAACCCTTAACCGCAGCCCCAAACCCTAACCTCGAAACATCCAATGCAGCAGTCAGTAGACGACAGGCCGAAAGTCAAGGAGAGCCAGCGGCATTGGGCCGGAAAAGGTAGACACGGCAACAAAGGAACAAGGCGGCCAACAGAACACACACCGCGACATACAGCAACACCATGCCAACGTAATCACACCAACTCAAAATAATAGCGTAGGTCGACAGTACGGCTACATAACCACGCATTAGCCCCACGGCGTTGTTGATCTGCGGCCATGCCATCCCAGCAGAGAGATGATGTTTGGCAATAAAGGACCTGGAGGGCACGTCAGTCACCATAAAGCGAGTGTGAAAGGTGGACTGTGATATGTAGTCCAGTTGGCTATCCCCTGAGAGTTGAACGTACCATTGCAGAAGGTGGAGAGCGTGGTAGGGGGGTTTAGGGTCGATGTGGATGATGAAGTTTCTCTCCTTAATGAGGACCGACGACGCATCAGGGATGGGTGGACAGTCAGAAACTCTCGTAGCGCTACTCAACAAGCGACAACCTTCTACGAAATAAAGAAAGATAGTAGGTCTGACTTGCGAGATGCCCTTGAAGCACGTCGTAAACAGCAACACCGAGGGTTTCAAAAGTGAGGAGGTTGGCGCCCGCCAGGGTAACCGCGAGGGCATATTCGAGGAGCCTAAGCGAAACTTCGACACCACAGAGGAGATTCATGGGCGACAGAATGACGTTAGTACAGTTTGAGAAGAAACAGCCGTAGCAGTCCACTATGCCCAGGAACCGCGTCGCAGTTGACGCTTGAAAATGACGAATGGCAACGGGCTTCGAAGCTGAGGGAGAAGTGGGCGCTAGGTGACCCAGCCAGGTTTCTGTGCAGATAGAAGAAAGGATGAAGGCTGTCAAACGTGGCTGTTTTTCGGCGACAATGCTGGTCACTAAGGGGCCGTTAATGCAGATGAGAGCAGGTCCCGCAAGTTTCTGCCTCTGGAGGGGAGCGCGAGGCATTGCAGAATTCAAACGACATACACAGGAACTCGAGGGCCCCGGTAGCCACCGTTGAAATTTCTTCCGGGGCGATGAGGATCTGTCGATGTACAGTGATCGACAATTTCCCATTTCCCAAATCAGAAGGCAGTTAGATAGACAAGCTTTACTGAGGCGACGAAGTGTAAACACTTCTCAGCAAAAATTTTCAGCAAACGTTCTCACACACGAGGCTCATGCACCTGAGTCTCATCCGGCTGCGGGAAATTTGCGAAGATTGGTCTCACGACGTCGGCGAGGAGATGGTTGAGTCACATTCGCGTATGCAGAGCTTGATAGGTTTGCTAGGCAAATCGAAGTCGACATGGGTAAGTAACTGCCCTGGCGATCATTGGAGCGGTGGAATGTTATTACCGACAAAGACATGAGAGACTGAAATGGCCATTTCTGGCTTATTAGCCGTCGCCAGCCAGTCATACCCAACTCCGAAATGTGGAACACCTAGGGCTCGATCCCGTAATCTGTTAGTTAGAAGTTTAACGCCTCTAATCACTTGGTGAGTTCCGTATGAACGATCGGTGAGCGCCGCCTACCATTGTATATTCCCGATCGAAAACCGACAGGGCAACGGGCTCGTGGCCCGGTGGGTAGAGGCGTGGACTTCTAAACCAACAGGTCGCGAGTTCGAGGCTCGGGTGTTCCACACTTCGGGCTTGGGTATGGCTGGCTGACGACGGCTAGTAGGCCAGAAATGGCCATTCCAGTCTCCATTGTCTTTGTCGGTTATAGCATTCGGCCTATATCATGCGCCGCTGTGCGGCTGCTGGTTCGGCTTGAGAGAGAGAGAGAGAGAGAGAGAGAGCTGGTAAGGCACAGCGGGACGAGTGAGTTCCGTAAGAATGATCGGTGAGCAGCCCCCCACCAACCACAGATCTGATGGAAGGCATGGACCAGAGCGACCTTGAGGAAGACGAACTAGTGAAATGTGACCGTAAGTGCGCCGTCCGCTAGTAGTAGCCCTGAGAACACTGTGCAGAGGCAGGTTCCAAGGACTTCCTGTCTGGTAGATGATGTCCACCTGAAGCATATGTACGACTTCGGCATTGTTGACAGCAATCCGTGGAGGCGCGAGTGGGTAGAGTCAATAAAACACAGGGAGTAGAAGCGGTGAAGTTTGGAGGGGTGAGATTCGAGGTTTTTGTTGAGTAGCTGCAGAAATAGTTTACCGGGATCAGGGCGGCATGATGGCGGACACCACAGAGAAATGGAGACCCCAGACGGCGAGACTGATGATCCAGTAGTAAAAACGGGACCGTCAGCAGTCGAGCAGGAGATCAAGAGCGCTAAGACAGTCCACAGGGAACATCAGCAAACGAAAAGGATGACAGATAGGTGACGCCTGATACCGTTATCCAGTGGGAGGGCGTAGGAACCGAACGTTGTGATGAAAGTGGACTGCAGAAAGGAGCCAGAGTTGGCGCGCCGATGACCGGCCGCTGTTTGAGGAATGACATTGGACCGCGCGTCAGTATCGACCAAAAATGTGTTTCGCTCACGTTGTCACAGGCGCAAAATGAATGACCTTCTTGGGAGCGGGGTAGGGTTTACAGTGAAGCTCAACGGACCGGTTTCGCAGACTGATCCTGTTTGGAAGTGAAGAAGCTGGCGACAGGGGGGAGGGGGGAGGGAGAGAGAACAAGCGGCAGGCAGTGTGACGCCAGTAAGTGATGGTCAGACTTGGCTGGGGTCTCTCGATGGAGTCAATTGCTCGACAAACTTTCCAGTCGCGGAATCCAGGCCTCACAGCGGCTTCTCTCGGAGAGGCCTGTGCGACCTGGCATGAACAAGCAGGCCAAAACTTGGCGTAACAAGGTGTACTCGTACTTGATATGGCTGCGATCATGCCTGATCTAGCCGGCCTCGATGATGTTAAGGACAGTACTTCTCCACACGTGACGATCCGCGGCAGCAGATCTGGACAGCTCAACCCATTCTCTTCGCCAACGACGTAGACCGAATACCGAAGGCCCAAGAACCACCTCCATGTCTTGACGAACTGTATCGAACCAGGTTTTGAACTGACCCCCCTCTTCGGCGCCTCCAATGAGGAAACGGTGCCGGATGGACGGCAGTAACACTAGGTTCCTGAGGTTGTTTACGAAGAACATGCCCATACCACCTCAGTTGTCTTTCTTGGATGGCCTGAGTTATCCTTGCCATGTTGTCGTAGCGAGTGAGGACTGCCTTATTTGAGACGAAGTCGGTGAACTTCACTCGAAGGATGGTCCTCAAGCAGTGGTGATGAAATACCTTCAGATTTCACTCTTTTTCCACGCGCAAAGCCCAGCATTCACAACCGTGGAGAAGGACTGGCGGGACAGATGTACGGTACACGCGAATTTTCGTGGTGATGAAGGTATCGCGCCTGATCCATAGGCATTTTCTAAGGCTTGAGGAAACCCGTCAGGCAGCATCGATTCGGGAGACAATGTCGTCCTTACTTTGTCCATTATGCAGCAGCCTCGTCGCAAGGTATTTAAAACTGTCTACTTCTTCAAGTTGACAACCATCAATCCCGAGGAGTGCCTTCTCCTGGTCGGGGATGCAGCTTGAGAACACTTTGGTCTTCCTAGCGTTTTTGGATAAACCGACCGGTTTAACGAACTCGTCCAAACGTGGCACCATAGACTGCAGATCATCAAAACCTGAAACAAGTAAAGTGATATAGTCGGCATAGTCGATATCAGTCAGTCGTTGTCCGTGTGCAAACTCAACGCCGTCACCCTCGTGTAGGACCCTCCCGAGGATCCAGTCAATAGCATAGTTGAGCAGAATGGGCGACAGAATACAACCTTGTCGAACGCCAGACCGAATACCGAACGGTTGGGAAAGATTTTTGTGGACCAGGATTCACGGAGTAGTTAGGTGATAATACACCAATAAACCACATATGGAGACGAAGTGGCAACAGCAATCCTTGGACTACTTGTGCGGGGCTCTTTGCGGGACACTGGACCTCCCGATCTCGGCAGGTCTGTGACACAGTCTCAAGCAGGCCCTCGTTACGTTGCCTACGCTGGCTAGGAAGCGGACCGCACGCAACCCTTCTAGCGAGCGACGTATCGCAGTCACACGAACGCATCTACTCTGACGGCCTTGTTGCAGTAACGAGTTTCTGTCGAATGCCTCAGAACAATGCGCGGCTCTCTGCAGAAGCCGAGGCGACAGCGACCTCTCGGTCAAGCCTTG